ACACACACACACACACACACACACACACACACACACACACACACACAAACACGGAGGGGAGGGGCAGTAAGAAAATGAACATGGACTGGACTGATTTTGGATGAGTGTTCACAAAGACAACGATCCCAATATCACTTTCAGATTAAGACACATCCCGGGAAGAGCAAACACATTCAGAATGACCCTGTGGCGGGAACGCAGCAAAAAGCAAAGCCAGCAACCGCCCCTGTGAAGAAGCCTGGGTAACAAACCGTGAACCTGGTAAGATGAGCCCGCCTCTCGCCTAGCCATTTCCCACTAAGCTCCTGGCCCTGCAGCTGTGGAGCTCGCAGTACTGCAGCTCATCTTCCATTCCTCTCTGTCTTTACAAAGCCCATCTCCTCCTCCAAGTGCAGACCACGCTGCTACAGAGCAGCAAACTCCTCTCGAGTGAGCCCTGGCCATCTTGTGGCAGAGGCCATCTAAAATGGCAGCCTAGAGAGGGAAGTCTCAACGTTAGCTGCTCTGAAACTCCACTAGGCCGCTTTCTCAAATTACGTGGAAATTACGTGGCAGCTGGACCTGCGTAGCCATACCTGTCATACTGCCGTTAGCTACGGCACAGGAAGACAGCGTTTCTGCTGGAGTGGTAAAACACTCTAGGATATCTTTTTGTGATGATGGTTGCACACCTCTGTGAACACATTCGACCCTGTGGACCTGCCCAGTATAAATGCAATATGAGTTGCGCCTCCAGCAAGCCTGCACCGTTGCCAGGCTAATGCAGACAGGACCCAGAGCTGGTGCTGGTTGCCTCTCAAGATCTTTCTGAGCTAGTGACACACACCTATCATGCTGGTCGTCGGAAGGCTGAGGCAGGAGGATCACACGTTTTGGACGACAACACCTGGGGACTTCTTTCTCGTCATGAGCCAGCTTGCATCATCACGAGCATTCCTGCAGAAAGCAGGGAATTTTGTCCCTGGTCCTACTCCATACTACCCCTATATTACCCCTGCAGATACTGACACAGAGGGGCGGGGAATATCTCCTCGGGTTTTTCCAGCCGGGGCCAGATGCCCTGTTCCTCACACAGTGTGACCCAGTTTCACCCCTCAGCTGAACCCTAGGGCTCAGCTTTCCTACCAGCCACAAGGGTCTCTGCAGCCATGGGTGGGGCATTCAAAGCGAGTGCTGCTAGCGGGCTGGAGGCTCCCAAGGAAGAGTCACCACCCAGTGTGGCTCATTCCACAGATCCCCATCTGGGAGGGGTTCAGCTATTTCCTGTGTTGGCTGCTGTTTGTATCTGTCATGTGATAATTGCTGCAGCGCATGCGCCTTGGTAACCACAGGAGAGATTTCTGGAAGCAGAATTGCTCCATCCAAGAGGGGTGAGATAATGACACTTCTTGCCGAGTTACCCTTGTGTTGACTCTGCTCCTGTTACAGCTTGGCCTCCTTTCTTGTGGGATCCCTGAGTCGCTTCCCCCCCCACATTGAGCTTCCCCTCCCCCCCCATTAGAATCTTCCCAAACTATGGCGGAGAGATTCAGGACCCAAGAGCAGCTCCATGTATGCATGACCAAACAGCCAGCCAGGAAGGAGTGTGTGCAGACGCTTCTGTTCCTGGCTTCATGTTCTGCTGACACCACACTTGGGCTTTCTTTTTCTTATACGGCATCTCAAGTAGCTCAGGTTGGCTTCAAGCTCACTGTGTAGCATAGCAGAGAATGACCCTGAACTTCTGGAGCGTTGGGGTTACAGACGTGAACTACTACATCCAGTTTCCCAAGGGCCCTGTTCAGGCTGAGCACCAATGAAACAACGCTTCTTGGAATTTCAATCGTTTGTTCATAAAGACCTCCACACACTCTACACATGGCTGGTCCCGCCTGTTCCTCAGCCCAGAACCCTGCGCCTCCCCCTGTCACCACTGTGCTCCATCTGGAGCTGTCAACGGCTCCACCACCACCCCCACTCCACCCCAAACACAGGTATTCTAGTGTGGCAAAGTGTGAGTGTGTCAGGGTGTGGAGGATGAGGTTCGGGCTGGCCATGTTCTCCCAGCAGAAACATCTTCACTGAAGATCAATTCCCAGTCAATAGTAAAAATGGCTGTGGTGTCTATGCTTTTCCAGATGGCCAGAGCCAGGGTCTCCCGGGAGTCTCTTTGCACCCCCCTGCTGGCACAAAGCTCTGCTCTTAGCTGCCTCTAGAAGCATTTGGGAATTATCCACATCTGTGTGTTTTCCTGACACTTTGAAAACTGGAGCAAAACTAAACTCAAACAAGGACCAGCCTCCGAGCCATCTTTTGCCAGCTAAACATTGAGAGGGCAACAGTCACCCCACGGCGAGTTTTCTGGGGAGGTCAGAGAGGGCAAGCGCAAGCACGGGAAGACATCACACACCTGCCGTCCCCGAGATCACATCATGCTGTGAGGCTGTGAGTGCCCTTTTAGCAAGAAGAGGCAAGCCTAACACAATCATGGAATTTGCTCAGAGCCCCACACAAGCCTTGATTTGACACCAGTGTCTTTTCATTCTCTGTTGTGCACAGGCGTTCAAGGTATGGCCACCTCCATCCTTCCATTCTCATTTTAAACATTACTGAGCACCCACACATGCCAAATTTCAAGTTGATATATTAGCCCCGTATAGGGGACACAGTTTTCCCCAATTTACGGACAAGGAACTAGTTCCAGAGAGATGAGGGGATCCACTCAGACTTACCCAGTCAGCAAGGGACAGAGCCAGAACCTAATAGCAGATTTCAGGCTCATACTATGTGGTATGTGTACCTATATGTGCTGTGTGTAAGTGTATGTGTGTGTGTTCATGTGTAGATTGGGACATGGGGTACTGCCTCAGTCCATCTCCACCTTATCATTATTTGTTGTTATTACTGGTTTTCTGAGGCAGGGTTTCTCTGTGTACCTGAACTTGGAGGTCTGCCTGCCTCTGCCTCCCGAGTTCCGGGACTGGAGGTGTGCACCCCGACGCCCAACTCCCACCTTATTGTTTGAAACACAGTCATCCGCTGAGCCTGAAGCTCATTGACTCAGCTTGGTTGGTTGGTCACTGAGGTCTTTCTCCACAGTGTCCCACATTCCAGGAGCAGGTTCAAGTGCGACTCAGGGTCTCCTTACATGGCAACTGCTTCATTGACTGAGCTCTCTCTCTCTCTGGATCTTAGTAGCTTCACTAGATGATTTAGGGGTCCTGGGTGTTGATGGGGGCAGGGGGAGGAACCTGAGTGACTCGGCTGCCCCACAGCAAAGCTGCTCCATTCGGAATTCCCTATGACACCTTTTTCTTTTTCTCCACTGGGCAGGGGTCCCTAGAAGCCGTTGGTGGCTGTCCAACCTCACCTACTCCCCCTGTGGTGTTGGGTGGGCCTCTTGCTTCCCAGCTCGGTTTCTGTAGCTCTAAAATGCAGGGTGGAGAGAGGTCTTTGCCATGCAATCTTAGTAGCTGACAGGGTCAAAGGCTTCTGTCAGGGAGCAGGGCAGAGCAGAGTGGCAGGAACTTGCAAAAGGCTAAGAGCCCTTGAACGGAAGGGAGAAACTTCTCAGAGGTCAAGGTCACCATGACCCAGGGACCAA